ACAACCGAGAAAACTTCCAAGGACACAACTGCTTCAGCTGTAGCCGTTGGTCTCAAGCAGGGGAAGCTCATCATCGTGGTTAAGGTAAGGAGCTATATAACAGAGCAGCAAATTTTGAAAAGTTCCAATAAGACTCCTTAAACCTCCAGGCTTGTTTAAACTATTCTGGGGCAGATACGCCAGCTTTAATATGATTTTCCCCTTGATTATCTCCAGGATGGACAGTGGTATTGACTCTGTACCACTGAATCACACTAGGAGTGGGGAGTGTCTGGGATGTGGCAGGGTTCTCCTAGCCACTCCAGACCTCACAGGTGACCATGAAAGTATATGTTGTGCTGTTTGATTCAAGCCAGGCTACCCTTGGTATGGCTTCCCCTGCAATTTAATTTTAAGGATTCTAATTGAGATTTTAAATCAGCTTACATTCTGAAATGACATCTGGGAAAAGGAGACTGGTTTTGGACTTGGGTTGTACCAGCAACAGGGCAGCCAGTGAGCTCATGATCTCTCCCTTGGCAGGATGGACCTGGCTTCTTCACCACCAGGTGTCTTGCACCCATGATGTCTGAAGTCATCCGGATCCTCCAGGTTGGTGTTGCTCTCTGGAGTGTTTGAGGCACCATCCACTCCTTCAGTCAGTCCTCCAACACTGATAATGTCAAAATGAAGAAAAGACTCCTTCTAATATACTGACTCCTGACTCTTCTCGGGGAAGGCCCTTTTGTGCCCTCCCTTTCTGCACAGTGGTGGGAAGTCATGGGGTTTGTGCTGCACTAAAGTGGCCAGAATTTTACCTCTGCTCCCTCAGCCTCCTTACTGTTCCATTAAGCCAGAGGTCTCTCAACATGCTCTCTTATGCTGTTTCTGCATCCCCTCTGTGGCAGGGACCATCTGGAAGGGCCCACTTGGTCTGACTGGTGCTGTATCTGCTTCTGCCACACACACACCCCTCTGGTGACCTTCCATGTCATTCCCTGGCAGGAAAGAAGGGGGATCTTTTCTTATCCAGACACGGGCATCACAGGGCTCTGCAGTGCTACTCTTTGATAATGTTTCTTCTGTAAATCGTGGCACAGTCAGCCCTGTTTCCCATGGAATCTCCTTATTAAAATACTGTGACTAGAGAAGACTTAGACTTTCCACTTGTGGCTCCCAAACCTCTTTGTGCTTCCCTGAATGAAATAGCACCAGTCCTGGGCCTGGCCAGATTGACAACCAAAAGAGAAGTGGGTTTTGCACAAGACTGTGTCTAGGGAGCCAATACGGGGTGCTCTTGGCAGGGGTGGTGTCTGAGATAGCCTTCCTCTGAGGTCCTGGCTTCACTTGCTATTCAGGAAGGAGTCGACCCTAAGAAGCTGGATTCCCTGACCACAAGCCTTGGCTTTCCTGTGGGCGCTGCCACACTGGTGGATGAAGTTGGTGTGGATGTAGCTAAACATGTGGCAGAAGACCTAGGCAAGGCCTTTGGGGAGCGGTTTGGAGGTGGAAACCTAGAACTACTGCAACAGATGGTGTCCAAGGGCTTCCTGGGTGAGTAGCCTCAAGGAAACATAACTAGCACCATTAGTTACAAAGTTCTGAGCAGTTTCCTGAGACCCAAGAGTCACAGAAGGCCCATGTGGAAAAGAGCGTTTCCTAAATACAGAGCCCTTGACATAGGGAATTTCAAAAATAATTTTGTGAGAACCTCCTCATAGGCTGAGCCTATAGATTATGGACAAAAGGCAGAGCTCTAGCCTCTTGGGGCTCCGCCATTACCCGGCCCAAGTTATGCCAGATGGATGAGCATTTCCATTCTGCCCAAGGGTTCTACTACGTCTGTGATACTGCAGTATCAAGTGCCACATCCAGACTTTGCCATGTAGTCTGGCCACTTGTGGGGAAAAAGTAAAACCTCTCAATACAGAGTATACAGTTGAGGCCCACAGAGAGGTGTTGCAGCAAAATAGCAGCAAAATCAGCACTAGGACTTGGCATCCTAGCACCTGGTGTTGCATGTCTGGACATTAAAATACCCTAGTTGGCCTTTCACATCCAGATATGCAGATTTCCAAGCTCCAGGAGATACAAGATCTTCCTATGGCCAACTCTTCTGACAAAGACCAAATTGCTAGGGTTAGCTAGATATGCAAATTCAGGAATTCAGAAAAGAGGTTGGAGCTTTCTAGCAGAGGGGCAGAGACAAGAATTCTCAGGCCCAGGGCTCTGAGAACAAACAAATAGTAACGTTCCCTTTTCTTGCTTTTAGGTCGCAAGTCTGGGAAGGGCTTTTATGTCTATCAGGAGGGTGTGAAGAATAAGAATTTAAATTCTGACGTGGACAGTATTTTGGCAAGTCTGAAGGTGCCTCCTAAGTCTGAGGTGTAAGTCATTTTGAGTGGCCAATGGCTTTGAAACAGCCCAAAGCTTCTCAGCCCCTCTTCCATTTTCTTTATGATCACCATACCCACATGGAAAGAGCACTCCTGATGCTGGCATGGTGCTTTACAAGTGTAGAGCCCTTGCGCACGCCACCTCAGTCTCTTCTGGCCACCAAGGTGAGAAGTGGGCCAAGCCTGGTGAAGGCCACCACTGCTCCAGTGTTCACTGTGAAGGTCCCAGAGTGCTGGAAGGACATATTATCCTAGGCCCCTCCACCTCCCAGATCTTATTGTCATTTGTGAGCAGTTCTGTCCTCCGTGCTAGGCCCTGTTCTGGGTGCTCAGTTTCATGTTAATTAGGACAAGTAACTCTCCACTATTTCTAAGGGGGAAGGCTGGGCCTCCCAGGCAGCGTCTTCTTTAGAGTGGGAGGGTCGGGACTGCCTGGTGCAGAGCCCCCATCAGCCACCCCCACTTCACATTCTGCACCTGCAGCTCCTGCTTTCCTCCCCTTCACCTGTTCCCTACCTAAATCTCTCTTCCTGTTGGCAGCTCCTCTGACGAAGATGTCCAGTACCGCCTACTGACAAGATTTGTGAATGAGGCAGTCATGTGCCTGCAGGAAGGGATCTTGGCCACACCTGCAGAGGGAGACATTGGCGCGGTCTTCGGGCTCGGCTTCCCCCCTTGTCTAGGAGGTTGGTCTTCCTGGTTGGGAAGGTAGCTCACTTTATCCTAGAGCTCATGTTGCTGTCTCCTTCAGCAAAGTCCTGTTTCTCTATTTAGGGCCTTTCCGCTTTCTGGATCTGTATGGTGCTCAGAAGATAGTGGACCGGCTCAGGAGGTACGAGGCTGCCTACGGAAAACAGTTCACCCCGTGCCAGCTGCTAATTGACCATGCTAACAGCCCTAACAAGAAGTTCTACCAGTGAGCAGGCCCTCACGCCTTGCTCAGTCAGCACACTAACCCCAGCTGCCGGCAGTGTGTGGTTCTCCAACTGAGTGGTGTCTAGGTTTATCAGAGTAACTGGAAGGAAGACATACTCTGGCAGTGGGTTTGCTTCTCCATTAAAGTGCCTTCAGCTACGACCATCTCCCTCCTGGGGAAGTCTGACTGTGAATTAGAGTTTGCATTTCATGTTGGAAGGTGGAACCCACTGTGCTCATTTTATAAGTTCAGAGGCTCACAATGGCAGCTGAGCGCCATCTGAAGCCATCTTCGCTGCCTGTTCCTCCTGAGATGCCAGTGGTGGCCATTGGTTGTGAGGGCAGTTCTGCACACAGCCAAACACATGATAACAATAAAAACCAAACTCCGTACCAGCCTCTCTGCCTGCTTGTTCCTTTCTCTTCTGTCTCCCCTTCTGTTTTAAACCTCTCCTTCAAGAAATGAGCTGGAGTAAAGCCCTATGCTTTGAGAGTAAGAATGTGTTGGGAGAGTTCTAGGCAACACCCTGAGAGGGACTGTGATGATAGGAAGTGGGACTTAATCTGCCTAAAGCCATTTAAACCTGCCTGTTTAAATGCTTTAAACACTGGGCTTCTGCTTACATTGGGGAAGTGGCCCAGGTTAACTAGAGCAGCAGAAATGTGACAGGTATGGCACACCAGGATATAGATACTTCTTTCCCCAAATGATTTCCTCACTGTATGATGTTACCCATTTCTTTTCTTCTTGTGCCTCATTCATGCGTGCTTTGCAGGACATTTGTGGGAACTTTGGGGTCAAGCAGAGATTACATTTCCCTGGAGTTCAGTAATCCTGTACATCTTGGCTGCCCCAGAGCAGGGAAGACATTAGATGCCCATTCAATGATCAGAGGCAGCACATAGGAGCAGGACAAGAACGCTGATTCAACCCACACCACCTGCACTCTAGCATAGCCTCAACTCCTCCTCACCCCCAACCCTCATGTGGAAAGTTCCTACACTTGTGTTCTGGCAGAAGCAGTGCCCATTCTGGGAAAACAACATTGGGGCTCCTAACTGGGTCTGGCAAAAGGATTCACACTGTGTGTGGAATCCTAATTCAAGGCCCATCACACCCTGCATCCTAAACTTTCAGATCGTACCGATTCCTCCTGCCTCTGCTACACTTGCAAGTACTTCACATATTTTCCTGGTCCCAGCTCTGTTGGGACTGGCAGGCAGGGAGCTGAGCTTTGGCTCTACTAAACACTGGCTGTCGGTTGCTATGAAGACCTAGACACTAAAACCAAATCAGCTCTGGGCTGGGGTTTTCAGATGACCAGTAGAGGGAGAGAACTGATCCTCTGCAACAAGGCTATTAACAGGCTTCTAAATGAGGCGTCTGAGCTGAAGGTAGCCATTCTGCCAAGGTGGGAAATTAAACTTGGGCCCTGGCTAGCAACACTGAGCTTTGATGTCTGGGTCTTTCCATTCAGCAACACCACGTAGGTTTGAACTACAGTGAAACATTAGTGGGAGTTGGAGTGTTCTTGTCTAGGGGCTGATGAGGAAATTGCAGAAGTGAATGAGGTTTACTACCAGCTGCTTCCAGGGACATATGAATGAGCCACTTACACCATTCCAAAGTTCTTTCCTGCCCAGAGACATATACATTATGCCCATGGGTCCCGTGGCCCTCCGAAAGAAGCAAGCAGCTAACACCCAGAATTCCACTTGTACTTCTTCAGTGGTCTAGCATTTATTTCACTAGTCCTTGAGGATTCATTAGATGTTTTGCAAGAAAACCAAGTGTCTCAGCATCCCAGTTTCTGTGTTCTACTCTCTGACTTCCCTTCTCAGAGCTGAGGCAGCCTGCTTGGGGTGTGGGTGCCAGCCTGGCTTAACTACTCATAAGATTAAAAAACAAAAAATGAAGGAAATAAATATCTAGGTCATCTAGGTAAGGCAGAAGAGAAGGCTGACACCTCTGGGGCCCTGACACTAGTGGGCGTGAGGAGGAGTACTGTGGTGGTGGTGTTTGTGGGTGGGTGGATGTACACATGCTCAAAATTCAAGGGCACAAAGATCTGCTCTGAAGCATGTGAACAAGTGCAGGAGGCCTGAGCTCCAGGGGGAGGGGAAAGGTAGGTCTTTCCAAGCCACCATGCTCTCTCTCCCAACTGTACCCTCCTGTGCCAGTGACAGAAAACCAAGGAAGGACACTATGTGCTCATCAAACAATGGGGGAAGGAGACTGGTGGAAGTGGGGGTGACAGACCACAGCTTGCTTGTAGAATCAAGGAGCAGCTGACCTAAGTCTACGTGCTCTTCCATGGAGTCAGTCAGGAGACTGAGCCCTACCTGATGGGATAAATGACTAGTTGTATTAGGTCAGAGCAGAAGCCAGTGTGCTAGAAACATCGGGAAAGCATCTGCCTCCCTAACTGGATAAGCAGGTCAATAGCAGAGCTGTGCTCTCCCCAAGTCGGCACCCATGAAGCAGAACCCAGAGGTGGCGCTCAGGTGCTGTGGCACAGGCTTGTACCTGATTCACCCGTGCTCAGGGCAAGGCACCAAAAGCACAGTGCAGCAAGGGGGTAAAGGCAGGGCATCCCAGAGGGTCGGCCCCTGTGACTCTGGGGCAGTTTTAGGTCAAGAGCCCACAGAGCACAAAGGAGAGAGGGCACTTGGGGAATTTGTGCTTAAGTTATGGGCCTTATTTTCCCTTGTCTCTAACCTCAACCTACAAGCTTGAGAAGTGCAAGACGTCTGCAGCAGGGCATGGGAAGGTGTTAGGTCACCATGAAGACCAGCTTTTGACACCCACCCTCCATGGGAATGACAGCAAATGCCGCACCAGGTCCATGTGCACAGTGAAGCCTCTAGCACACTCCCCACGAATTCTGCACACTCAAAGACAAGAGGTCCCCACGCAGGGCTCGGAGCCCAGAGGATCCCATCTCCAAGTGCGCCTCCCTGGATTCACTCTGAGTGGCTCCCGAGCAGTCTCAGTCTTGGTGTAGATTCTCCCTGGAGGGAGTAGTGCTTCTCTGGGAGTGCTGTTCCCTGGCAGACCCAAGGCTGGTCCCCAGGGCTTCTGTGCCAGCACTCTAGGTGTGCAGCTTCAGGCTGGCCAGTTCAGATCTTGGGCCGCCAACCTTTGATGAACTGCATGATCTTCTTGACCTGCAGCTTGGTGAGGTGGAAATCATCTGCCAGTATGTCCTCACTGAGCTGCACAAAGATGCTACCATCGATGCGTTCTCGGGCAAAGAAGCTCACCACATCCTCTGAGAGCCCGATGAAACGCAGACTGCAAGAGACCTCCTCCAGAGAGAGCGCAGACAGGTCAGCGGGGGGCTGCCAGGGGGTGGCATCCCGGCCCCCGGAGCTTGTAGCTCCATCCCGGGGACTGGCAGGAGGGCCTTCCAGGCGCCCTTGGGTGAGAAAAAATCGTGTTCCTCCTGCCTCAGGCCCCTGCAGGGCAGCTGGTGACAATGGGGTAGGGACCTGCCTCAGCACCAAACCTTCAGGGTCAAAGACTTTGGGAGGACCAAGTGGCGAAAGGCAGGGTCCAGGCCCAGGTGCCTCCACAGCTCTGGGCTCCTGACAGCGCAACAGCTCGGGCTCTGGAGAACTGCCCTGCCCCAGCTCAAAGGGGTCAAAGGGCTCCAGGGCTGGTTCCTGCCATTCAGAAGACGATGATGATGAGGGGGGACAAGAAGAGAGGGGAGCAGCTGAATAGGCCCGGCCTGGCGAGGCTGGCCCTGGGGAATATGCAGGGCAGGAGGTAGCCAGGGGACCCAAGGTGGCTGTAGGTCCAGAACAGGGGGCCGCTGAAGGGCCCGACGGGTGGGCAGGCCCAGAAAAGGGATTGAGAGCTCCAAAGGGAGCGAAGCGTTTCTGGGGGTGAGAGGGCTTGAACAGAGGTGGGCAGCTGTGGTAGGTCTTGACAGGGGTGTCGGTCCCCAACACGGAGGAAGCTCGACTGCTCAGGGGCTCTGCAAGGGCCCGGGGGGCCTGGCTGGGCTGCGTGGTGGAGGGCAGGGGTCCTGGTGGCGGGCGGCTAGAGGACTCGCCCACCTTGCAGTCTCCCCAGGTGCATGGGTAGCAATAGAGGGAGTAGGCATCTGGTGACGGGGAGCCACTGGCACTGCGGGAACCCGCCCTGTGGACAGAGACAGACAGACACATGCATACAGGACAGGTAAGGCAGAGCAAAAGGGAAACATGACAGAGGCCACCACTGATCTCAGCAACACTGGCCTGTACTCCAGTCCCCAAAGCCTGAGACTCTGGGATTGCCCTATTCTTTCTTCCAACATCCCTCAACCCACAGCAGAAAATGCAAGGGGAAAAATTAAACTGATCTGAATTACATAAACATTTTAAAATAGCAAGGAGCACTCTATCCTGCAGCAGAGCCCCAGTCTGAAGGGAAGCAGAGCAATGCTGCCATCCAACCCTGGTCATTTAGGAAGAAAACAAGCTGGAACAGGAAGGTGGCAGAGCAGGACATCAGGACACTGGGCCCCCAGATACCCTTTCCCTCAGCTACCGCACAGGGACCTGCAGCCCCAGAACGTCCCAGGCCTGAAGCCTTCGTCTTCCTCAGCACCGCACTCCCCTCTCCACCCTCTCCTGCCTTGATCCACCTCGGAAGAACCCAGGGCCTAGCAAAGAAAGGAACTCACCCATCCTGGAGGCCCGAAGAGTAGTAGGAGAGGCTGGAGCTGGGCGAGTGGACAGGCTGCAGCTTGGGGAAGCGAGGGGGCACAGGGGGGCTGCCTGAGAGCCTGCTGCTGCCACTGCCACCGCGGGGAGGCACGGGCGGGGCGTTGAGCAGGCGGCACTCTTCCTTCACCTGCAAGCAGAGGGCCGTGACTCCACCTTCGTCCCCAGGCAGCTGACGCTCGGCTGTGACTGACACTTCGCCCCACTTTGCCAAGAGACTGCCTTGCCCTACACCCCAGCTGCCCACGCAGCCCACCCTTCCAGCCCATTTCACTCGCGCACACTGACCCACCACACAGTCTCCTATTCCCCGCAAATGCATCACGCGTGTAAGACAAAGGACACAGGGGCAGACCGAGAACAATCAGACGAGTAGACTTGCTCCCTCCTCAAGGAAGAGAGAAAGAAGAGGGAGACGCTGTGGCAGGGGGACAAAGGGGAGGACTGTCCGCCCTCCGGAGCCCTCCTTACAGCTCAAGTACCCCAAAATGGCTTCCCTGGGACGTTAGTGGGTGTAACGGGCAGGGGGAACGTTCTGCAGACAAATGCATCTGGGAAGTTCTGCGTTAAAGAGAAACCGGTTTCCTCAGGCAGGACTTCCCTGAGCCTTTAGTGCTGCGTGACTCCCAAGCGACGAGGAGGCGGGGGAGCTGGGACTCTCGCTCTTTTCTAAGCTCGTTTCACCACGGAACCTCTCCACTGGAAAACTTAAAGTGCTCCTGTTCTGTGGAACCTTCTGGATAACTGTTTCCAAGCTCATCTCAAAGTCTCTTGGTCTCGGGACCTGCTGGCATTTTCGTCCCCACCACTCGCCACGGCACCGTCACTGGTATTGCTCACTACGAAGCCCCTTCCCCCGCAGCCGTGCCCCGCACCCTCGGGCTGGGGCCCGCTGGCCGGGCAGCCCCTCCGGAGACAGAGCCCTCGGGGCCCGGCCTCCCGCGGCCGCCGTCTGCGCCTCGGGCGCGGTCACTCACCGCCTCG